GACCGGAAGGAACCAGTGCTCCAGGCCAGGAGTGAATTCCTGGGTCCTAGTGGGTCCCAGTTACTTCCTGTTTGGAATTGGTGTTGCTGTCTCCTTACCTGAGATGTTGCCCGAGTTAAAGCTCCTGGGAGGCCTGCTTCCTCTGGGTTTTGTGAGATTGGGTACAGAGCAGCCGCCTGGGATCTGCTCAGTGCTCAAGCCCAGACTTGTATTCTTTAAATTCCCATGAAACCAGTATCATCCCTGTCCTGATGCAGTGATTTGTCCACTAACTATAATTAGCTTGAGTTATTTTGCAGCTTAATAAAAAATAATCTATATTTGTAATGCCCAAAATGGAATATGTATTTTTATGGATCTTATCACTATATCACAAAACATGATTTCATTCCAGTTATTTGTCTGTCTAATCATATATGTGGACTCATTTCATATATATGGACTCACATTTGGTGTCTAATTTCTTTTTCCTAAACCTAATATTTTCAAAGTTCATCCATGCAGCAGCATGTATTAAGAGTTAGTCCCTTCCTTCCTTCCTTCCTTCCTTCCTTCCTTCCTTCCTTCCTTCCTTCCTTCCTTCCTTCCTTCCTCCTTTTGGTTTTTTAAAAAGAGAAGTCAGAGCTTCTCTGTGTAGCCCCAGCTGTCCTAAAATCATTCTGTAGACCAGGCTGGCCTTGAACTCACAAAGATCCAGTTGCCTCTGCCTCCTGAATTCTGGGTCTAAAGACGTGCTGCCACTGCCTGGTGAGAGTGCATTCTTGCTATGAATGCACTGTATCCTGTTTTATGCATATACACAGTGTGCTTATGTTCAACCTTTGAGGGACATTTGGGCTGTTTCCCTCATGGTTTATAAACAGTGCTGCTTCGCACATACAGATTCTCAGTTTCTTAGGGTATATGTGTAGAAATGTCACTACTAGGCCAAATGGCAGTTCACTATTTAGTTTTGAGAAACCAGACAGTTTTCTACAGTGCAGAAACCATCTTCGTTTTTCATCAGCAAAATGTAAAATTTCCATTCATTTATTCCTTCACTGTGGGTTTCTTGCTAACCATATTTAATCAGTTAAAAATGACACACCTTAGTTATACATGCTTCTCACATGGAAATTCATGTGAATACATGCATACACACACACACGCACACACACACATATATATATATGAACCCTAAATAGTGAGTTCCAGACCAGCCAATGTTATAAAGTGAGACCCTGTCTCAAATAAATATTTAAATATTTTAAAAAATCAAAGAACCAATTATTCACTTCTAATGAAGAAATAATTTTAAACTGAGGGAAAGACTATTCTAAATGCTTTGGTTAATTTGATTTAGTCTTATTCTAGATTTGATGTGACACACAGAAATGTTCACAATATAGACTTTACCTGCCACCTGCAGCAGAATATTTCAGGTCACTTATCAGATAGTATAAGATGTCTAGCCTTGCTTGATACTTCAAACCTTTGGGATAATGGAAGTGGGCAGCATACATGGGATTCTGCATTTTACATGTGCCCTCAGGGTAATTTTTATGAATTGTGGTTAAATCAGTGCTATCATTGAACTCTTAAATCTCAGGACTGTGCTATTTGGGTTTATAGTTTCATAAGTTTTGATCCATGGTTGCTTGACCATATTGCTGTAGGCCTATGAGATAGATAGATAGATAGATAGATAGATAGATAGATAGATAGAAGATAGATAGATAGATAGATAGATAAATAGATAGATAGATGTATATGGTGTGTGGAAGAGAAGATTGCTTACATCATAGTGGGCTAGAAACAAAGAAGAAAAACCAGTGGAAGAAGCCAGCATTCTATCACTCTTGAGAGAACATGCAGACTCCCTCCTGACAGTCTCCATTTCCCAAAGTTTCCATCATCTCCCAGGCTGGAAACCACACCTCTGACACATTGGCCTTGGAGGACATGCTCCAGATCCAAACTATAGAAACTGCGAGTGATAACTAGTGTGGAGAGTCAAAATTTTATTAAAAACTCCAATTCAATTTTTCTTTTACCCTTTTCTCTCCCTCATAACACAAAAGTAATTCACTATGCTTCTCCAGCTCCATATGCATGAGGCCGAAATAGCAAGATAGGTAAGCCCTTTTTCCTTCCCTACACTGGTAATTTATTTCTGCAAGTTAAATTTTTCCCCAAGTCTTTTTATCACACAGTTGATACTACAGAAACACCCTACTCGTCATCCCACCCCAAGCAAGAACCAGTAGTTTCAGTAACTCAAAATGAAAAAAAAAAAAAGCAGGACACTTGTAGCTATCAAAGAGTCAGGAAGACCCAGCAGTCAAACATTTTCTCTGGTAAAAGAACAGTAGACTCGTAGGCAGCAGATGACATACAGTAAGGCACTTTGACAAAGATGAAAATGTGGAATATGACATGATAATCAAGAACAGAGAAATGCAGTTTTAAAATAACACCATGTTCTCAAGTAACAGAGAGACTAAAGCATGTGCACCAATGGGGGTCTGAGCATCCTCCTCCTGCACCTATCTGCCGAAGCGTGCATACAGGAGACTTGATCATCAAGAAAAAGACACACTTCTACTGATTATGAACATTTATGAAATGTGTGATTCAGTCTCTTTTCCGGAAAAGGTTTCAGAGAACATACAGAAACATTTACTGAATACACAAATTGGATAATGTGAAACCTTCTAGAACATTTTCCTGACAGTAAAATCCCCACGATATTGCTCTTTCATAGTGTGCTATTTAAGATACTTCTAATCTGGACTTGTGAGTCTTTTCCTGAAGTGATTATCTGTGTTGGGAGGCTTCCCACCTGGGGAGCAACTCAGTGGGAGAGTACATGTTTATCATGTGTGAGTCTGAGTACATGTTTATCATGCATGAGTCTGTGGGTTCAATTTTCACCATGGCAAAAACAGAAGAAGAAGGAAGAAGAAGGAAGAAGAAGGAAGAAGGAAGAAGGAAGGAGGAGGAGGAAGAGGAGGAGGAGGAGGAGGAGGAGGAGGA